GAACTTAAGTAGTATTTTATCAATCTGTTTTATAATCCATGTACACCACAAGTGACTGGCTTCTCATATAAAACATAAGTTTCAAAACTAGGGATATAACAGAAATTTATTCTACAGGCTTGAAAGATTACTCTAGCTATGTGACTTTGAACAATACTGGATGACGTAAATATCAAAATGGTTTACAAATTATGTAAGTACACCTAGTAGGCTATACTTCATTAGTTCCAGGTTTACAGTTATGATATCGTGAGATGTTATATTGTAATTAAGGCGGTAATTAATTCTTTATGTTCTTGTCATTAAGTGGCTAATGAGTCACAAAACAAATAATCAAAACATTTCAGAGGTGGGGGCGCCAAAAGTGTCTCTGCCCCCGGGTGCTGAGAACCCTTGCTACGCCACTGCACACGGTACTGCGTGTTTAAAAACCATGATATACGGGATCAAGCCAGTATTTAAATCAAGTTACTGCAAGCAAAGCCTCTTCTAGAAAATACTCGTTGACCCTCGTAACATTCTACATACTCATACACATCTTATCGATATCAACAATCTCGTGTTGCTGAAAGAGAAATAAATAAATAAAAAAAAACGCTAGCCTGTGAGAAAATGGTTTTCAAACACACAGCACCATATCCAAACTTTCGTGAATAATTTTTTTACGGCGTGCCTCTGGTGAAATTCTGTGAGGTGATAGACTTAAAGGGGAAGCAAATACTCAACAACACCCACCGCCAACTCTAGATAGATTGATAGGTAGATTGGTGATAGACTTAAAGGGGAAGCAAATACTCAACAACACCCACCGCCAACTCCTGGGCTATTCTAATCGAACATTTGGAGTTGACCGTCATTTTCATACACGCCCTCTTGATACACAGTCCAGCGTAATAAGTAATGGGACTTTCTTTACAGTCACTCTGTTGTTCCTGACATTAGTTTTCTTACCCGACGTTTGTGTTTAAACGTCCATTAGCAGCGGTGTTTTTCTTTCGCTCTTTAAGCATAAATCTTCATAACTGTCTAAGTGCGCAGTGGTTCAACCCAGAATTTTAGCATTGAAGCCCCCGACCTTACCGCTGAACTGCAGGGGAGTACTTCTCGAAACACAGTTGAGACTGAAACTAGGTTTGGTTGTTGTTAAAATGGGTTATCTGTGCCCCTCCCACCACGGGTTTTGTAAGCCAACACCTGCGGGGTCTTCTACTGTATGTTTATATTATAATTTCCATCATTACCTACAGATTGTTTTTTAATCACGTTACTTAACGAACTTGTCTCGTCATCGAAGGAATATTTCCAGTAGCTTCTCGAATAAGGTAATTTGTCTCATAATGAGAATGTTTGACTGTACATATCTATTTCGAAGGCCTTCTGAAAGACCCACGTATAGGCAGTCCTGTAGATTTTAACATAACGGTTTTCCCTAAGAGCTTATATTATTTTGGTACGTTGATAGAATAAATAAATAAAAAATTAGTGAAAATGTTCACATTTTGCAAAGTGAAATAGGTACAGCCCAGACATTTAACACAAGGAACGTTATCTAGCTACAAATTATATGTTCCAGTTTTGTTATTGGTGTCCAGTAGAGGGCTATTTCTGGCGTGAAAATGTTTTGCAAAGTGAAATAGGTACAGCCCAGACATTTAACACAAGGAACGTTATCTAGCTACAAATTGTATGTTCCAGTTTTGTTATTGGTGTCCAGTAGAGGGCTATTTCTGGCGTGAAAATGTTTTGCAAAGTGAAATAGGTACAGCCCAGACATTTAACACAAGGAACGTTATCTAGCTACAAATTATATGTTCCAGTTTTGTTATTGGTGTCCAGTAGAGGGCTATTTCTGGCGTGAAAATATTTTGATTTTTAGCAGGAATTTCTGATCAGGTGAATAAATGTGAATCTCATGTATTGACAAGCAGTGCGATTCTGTAAAGCTATCTCTTTCTCTGGCAGCTACACTGCACGTGTATTTTGTATATAGATGTATACACTACGTCAATGAAGGCTGAAAGTACTTTCCAAAAAAACTTTGTTTTTCTACATATATATAATATTTTCCCTTCACTTTGTTTTTTCTATCTTCTTTATGGCCAATATACGGTTTGGTCTGTTTCATTTGGAATTTCGCGCAAAGCTACTTGCGGGCTATCTTCGCTAGCTCTTGGACTACTCTTTACCAACTAATAGTTGGATTGACCGTTATATTATAACGTCCCCACGACTGAAAGGGGCGAGGATGTTCGGTGACGGGGATTCGAACCCGTGATCAGCAAATTGCGAGTCGAGAGCCCTAACCACCAGGCCATGCCAAACTTTAGCCGAATATGTATGTTTATTATTTTTAATCCGTTAGATTAAATATAAATGTATGATTCATTAGGTGAATATGTATGTTTATTATTTGTAATCCGTTAGATTAAATATAAATGTATGATTCCATTAGGCGAATATGTATGTTTATTATTTGTAATCCGTTAGATTAAATATAAATGTATGATTCCATTAGGCGAATATGTATGTTTATTATTTGTAATCCGTTAGATTAAATATAAATGTATGATTCAGTGAAAGAAGTATTGGTGAATAACTGAGGGTTTTAAAACGATGCTAATCAAATCTACAGTTTTAATCCTACTGTAACCTTGCAGGATTATGGTTTCTAAAACGATGTTGATCAAATCTACAGTTTTAATCCTACTGTAACCTTGCAGGATTATGGTTTCTAAAACGATGTTGATCAAATCTACAGTTTTAATCCTACTGTAACCTTGCAGGATTATGATTTCTAAAACGATGTTAATCAAATCTACAGTTTTAATCCTACTGTAACCTTGCGGGATTATGGTTTCTAAAACGATGTTAATCAAATCTACAATTCTAATCCTACTGTAACCTTGCGGGATTATGGTTTCTAAAACGATGTTGATCAAATCTACAGTTTTAATCCTACTGTAACCTTGCAGGATTGTGGTTTCTAAAACGATGTTAATCAAATCTTCTGTTTTAATCCTACTGTAACCTTGCGGGATTATGGTTTCTAAAACGATGTTAATCAAATCTTCAGTTTTAATCCTACTGTAACCTTGCGGATTATGGTTTCTAAAACGATGTTAATCAAATCTACAATTTTAATCCTACTGTAACCTTGCGGGATTATGGTTTCTAAAACGATGTAGATAAAATCTTCAGTTTTAATCTTACTGTAACCTTGCGGGATTATGGTTTCTAAAACGATGTTAATCAAATCTTCAGTTTTAATCCTACTGTAACCTTGCGGGATTATGATTTCTAGAACGATGTAGATAAAATCTTTAGTTTTAATATTACTGTAACCTTGCGGATTATGGTTAGCTGAATTTCCTCTACATACACGAAAATAAAAAAGATAAATACGTGAAATAACATATTTGCAGACAGGTTTACTTCAAATCACACCAACATTTCACTCTCTGGCTCTTGTATGTGGCCTTGATTTGAAGCTGCCAGCGAGATAAAACAGCTTCCTCTTATATTGTCTTTATAAGTTACCGCCCGCGCCGTTAACATAGAAACACCTGTGCCTAGTCACGTGATGCTGGTAACACGTGATGAGATTGTCGAAGGATCAAGAATTTTCCTGGGAATTCATGTCTGTTCCAGGCGCCCTCTTTTTTCAGTATGTAAGTCACCTCGTTATTTCATCATACCTTATAATATTTGTCCTCAT